GCGGTCGTGAGTTCGATCCCTGGCACTGATAAAAATGAAAAAGACAAAAAAAAAAAAAATATGCAGGGCATGAAACTGAGAAAAAGAGGAACCACACATTGTAGGTCCACATTTTTTTAAAATGTAGTCTACTTTGACATTGTGTTGTCTCCCTAGTGTGAAAAGCTGAAAGAGCAAATAAGATCTAAAATGTACAGTAGATATTGTGAAATAGGATGAAGCTGTTCAAAAGGAAAGAGAACTGGAATGGGGGAAAGGAGAAAAGAAGGAAGGGAAAGGATATATATATATATATATATATATATATATATAGAGAGAGAGAGAGAGAGAGAGAGTAGTTATGATAGCTACACTACTAATTTCTCTTAGTTCATTGAAGACAAAGGTTTGTGCTAATATTACTTGGACAATTAAATGCCTGTATCTTATACTCTTGAGGAACTAATTTAAAAATAATAATATGCAAAATATTAACTATTTTTTATGGTTACTACATTCTGTCAACTTGAAGAGTTTAGAAGTTTAACAAAGGAACTCAGCAGGGAGCCAGGATCCTTAGTTTGTAAATATCCTCAGCCTGTGCAAAAGGAGGGCACAGAAATTTTACAGTGCTACACCTGCCCTGAGGCTGCGGGGTGGGTGGCCTGCATACAGTACACAAGAGGAAAAGAGGCTTGCTCTTCCCCCTTTTGCTCTGGCTGCTGTCTTGAAGTGTTACCCCAGTTCCACTCCACCCTGATTGGAGCCAGTTGATTATGGACTGAAACCTCCACAAACAGTGAGCGTAATAAACATTTTCTTCCTTAATTTTGGGTGTCAGGTGTTTTTTCCCAAGAACAAGAAAAAAGTAACCCAGATACCATTGCAACTCTCCTGTTACCTTGTTTTGAAATTTTGTTTAATTTTTTCTTTAAAATAAAATGTATAAAAACTGAAAATTTTTTAAAAATTTAAAAATAAAATATACCTGCCTTCAGTGGAAGACAACAGGGATCAAGAAGCATCATTGCACTAGGATCTTAATCAGATGATTCATCCCCCCATTCAGTAAATAGTTTCAAAGCATGAAGAAAAGAAAGTTAAATCGCTTTGAAAACTATTGTATACTGCTGTGTTCTAGAAAATTAAAGTCCAGGTTTATATCTAGAACCCTTGGCCCTTGAAATCCGTTTCTCCACGTGGCTGCCCAGAGTGCCCAGCTCCAGCAGCTACACACCCTCCTTCTCTCCCAGCACCCGCTCCGTCCTGCCCAGTGAAGAGTGGCTGGCCAGCATGGTCCGCACATCTCCAGGCTCACGTTTCTGAGCCCAGCTCTCCTGTTCCCTCCCTTCCCAGAAAACAGCTGCCACCTTCTAGGTCTACAGAAGCAAACACCAGCAGCCAGTTTTCCCTAAAACACCAGGGAAGAGGGCCTTCCCTTGGGAGAGGCTCCCTGAGGATCTAGCAGTGGACTCAAGATCATAGATATGAGGAAATGATCCAGAAAGAAAGAACAAGAAGAGGGCCAGGTAGAATCTCACCTGTGCTTCACGTCATAACCAGAATCATCCATGGAGTCAGTGAATCTTGGGACTCTTCACCCCAACAGTAAGCTATAGCTACATGTGGACCAGAGTGGGGTGTCTTTTAAGGGCAGACAGGCTGATAAGCAGCACAGGAAAAGATCTTACTAAATGTAAGGAAGACAAACGCCTAAATACATGTCCAAAGAGTTTGCAGTCTAGCTGGGAAAGCCAGAAACAGAAAAATTGTTGTGCTACCGAAATGAATGTTCTACAGGACAAAGAAGAGCTAAAAGTCATATTAGTGGTTAGTTCTTCCCCAGAAAGAATTATTAGGCACTAAGATGTACTAAGTAAACAAGTCTTCAATCACCTAGGCAAAATGTCCTGCTGCCTTTCTGGATCAGCCTTCACGACACTACTTAAGATAAAGTTAGTTTCGTCCTATAGACCACTCTGGAGATGAACAGGTTAAGATTTTGGCTTCCATCCTCGAGCAAATCTGATGCAGGCTGGATTGGGAGTAGAAAGGTTTAGTTCCCAGTTCAGCACATTGTGTGCCAACCCATCTGCCCACATCAATGTCTATTTAAAAGTGAAGCCAATCACACTAGCCCATCTTCACCTGTCCTGCTGATCACCCAGAGCCAGGCAGGGGTAGAAAACCCACAAGTTGGTCTGGAAAATTGAGCCTTTCTGCAATTTCTAGTCGTGTGTCTGCTTGAAGGCACGCAGCCAACAAAGCCATCAATCTGGCAGTTTTTTAACATTGACCCAGGATATATTTGCTAGGCCATTTGCGCCATCTGCCATGCAAATGTCTGTTAAGGAAATAGCATAAAGTCGTAGGAATACCGGGGTTAAAATGCCATTCATCTGGATGCAGCAGGTCCAGCAGCAATTGTCCACAGCAGAACAAAGGGCTGGGAGAGCCGGGAGCAATGAAAAGGGGACAGAACTGTGACAGAGCAGGGCTCGAAACCATGCTTCTTTCACTCCAGGCTTTCTGTATGGCACCTGCAGACACATGGGCCAAAGACATTCTGGATGATTCCACTGGATTAAAATGCTTACTGCATACGTAGGTAAACATATAATAAAAACAGATGGGTAACTGGGAGATCCAGTTTGAATGGGTGGGATTGTGGGTACTGCATCTCTCTTTAAAATATGTATCTATATAAAAATGAAAATGCTATATAAAATTATGACATATAGAAATATAAAATATTTCCAAAGAGAAACTCAGTACCTATAATCCCATCCCCATCTGTCAACATAGCTCCCCCTCATCATGAGCTTTGCCTTCTGCCTTGTGTCCGCCTGTAACATAACTGAGCTCTTGCTGTATGTTAAATACTAGATTTGCTCCTGATTATATATTTCTATTATGCTTACAACCACACTAAAAGATCCAGTGTTGCAGATGTAACAAATAAGGCTCAGAGAAGCATTATTTTGATAGCCCAATGACACAGCTTATAAATGAGAGACCCAAACTCAGTTCACCCTAGTTTAATACCCATGCTCTGACATAGAATAGCCAGCTCTCCTGTGTACGGTCACTGACATTTGTTATAATATGCATCCATAAATGTAAGTTATTTTGGGTTTAGTTTTCTTCAGTTAACAGAAAATTGTGCATATTATTTGTATTTTATATAGGATTCATGCTTCTCAGTTTTCAGAGCAGAATAAATTAGTGTGTAATAATTCATATTAATGTATTAAATGCTACTTTTAAACAATCTCTGTTACAGTCTTATCTTCATTTTTCCTCCCCCTCTAGAAAATTAACACCAGAATGAATATCTTGGCACTACTATGCTTAGCTTCTGCCACACTGTTTCTTTCGAAGTACACAACTGGGTCAAAGACTGTCTATTTTTATGTCACTTGCTACACAGTCATATTAATTTTTTAAAGTATTCAATTAGAAGAATACAGATGCTACAACTTACAATAACCACACCAGCACCATATGTTTCATTAAAAAGTTTTGGCTAATTTATTAAATGTTAAATGGCACCGCAAGTTGGCTTTGGTTGGCATTTTTTTTACTCCGAAGTAGCAATGCCCCCACATCTGCTTAGTTACCGCCCTTACATGGTTACACACATTTGTTCCCTCTCTCTAGCCCAACTCTCTCAATAAAAGTGCACTTTTTGTGTGGATTAACACTTTTTCCTGTTTTATTTCTGAAGAAATGCCAAAAAAGGAAATATTAACTCGACACATAAAATATTAGTGAAAAAATCCTCCAGAATGATGCCTAACACTGAAATTATCAGGAGATGGACATCAGGGGAATCAGCTGGAAAAGCTTGAAGGTGGTACTTTCTGAGGGCAATAACCTGCTGGAGGATCAGGGTAGGACATTTCTCTTTTTATCAGTCTTATAGAACTATTGGACTTTTTATGTGCCAATTGCAATGGATGAAAAAGACAAAATCAGATTTCTAAATTCTCCTCCACAAATGAATGGAAGGCTAATGTAATGCTCTGTGCCCCTGCTTAAGAAAGTCTTCCAATTAAGCTTTCTTCTCTCAATAATTAATCTAAACTTTGCATCCCTTTCCCGTTGCTCACAGCCGTAGGATGCTCCAAGGAAGGGACAGAATCTGGCCAAACTCTGTTCAAGGCTGCCATCGGAGTCACATCTTTCTAATTCCAGATTCTCATTATTTCCCTTTTTCTAAAGTATTTTGCATATATTTAATTAGAGCTCCTACATCGCAGTGAGGATCCCTAACAGGAGGGGGTCTCTCTCTAGAGAAAAAATTGATGCTCATTAACAAAGGAAAAATGGATTCACTTTATGTTAGAAACCCAAGATTCAAATGCAATGAGCAGTGAGTTGTCATCTGGCTCTCTGAGTGCAACGGAAAAATGACCCGAGATGAATCATTGCTCTAAAGCCCGGATGATGTTCAATCTGAATCCACATGAGTGGAATTTTCTGTTCTGCCACTTTTCAGGTATGTGACCTTGAGCTATTTCAACTTTTTTTGTCTCTGTTTCTTTATCCATGAAATGGAGATAATAATGATATTATGATAATATAGTACGTAAACATGCATAATAGCATCTGCTCTTTACCGTTTTTGTGAAAATTTCATGAGTAAATGCATTTAAGGGTTTAGAACAATCCCAGTCACACAATGAAACTTGGTAAATGTTTCCATGAGCGCTGTATTAATTCTCCCCATCCCTGTAATGTATCTATCGTGGCATTGTTCAAGATCACACCACAAAACATAACTATGAGTAGATACGCTGGGCTTAAGAATCAGACCTTTCTAGATGCTACCTTTGTGCTATTAGCTATGGAATTCTGCCCGACACATGAATTTCCTCATTTATAAGTTGACTCCTTGTGTCTCGTTTGTAAGGAGAATTGGGCGGATCAAAGAAGACAGTGTGTCTCCATCTTGCCATGGAGATGTTGTTCAAAAGGGACAAAGAAAGCAGAGACAAGAGAAGAATTAGACCACTTACCTGAGACGATCTTCTCCTTCTTGATAGTTCCAGTGATAGGTGATGAGTGTGGCTGGGCAGCGGCCAAAGAGAGACTTGTTGAATCAGTGTCCACTGATGAATGCACGATCATTGTTGAGCCAGGAGGGGTGCTAGGAGGTAAATCAGGAGCCTCATGAGCAGCAGTAAATGGATTTAGAGTACTGTGTTCTTAGTACAAAGTTGAGCTTAAAGGCTCCATAAAAATGAGGTGCCTACAATGGGGGTGGGGGGGACTTCCTGAAGGAAAATGTATTAGTAACCCATTGCTGCATAACAAATCACTCCAAAACAGTGACTAAAAAAGCACACATTGTTCCTGTGGGCAAAATCTGGACATAGCTTAGCTGAGTCCTTTGCACCATGGTTTCTTCCAAAGCTGCAAGCCAGGTGTCAGCCCATGCATGTAATCTCAAGTGAAACTTCTGCTGGGCACATGGTGATTCTCAAGCACTCCTGGTTGTTGGCAGAATTCACTCCTTGGTGCACTAGGGGACCAAAATCTCTTTTCCTCACTGTTGGCTCATCCTTGCTTTGTGAAATTCTTCAACACAGTAGCTACTTCACTATTGCACACAAGCTGAGCAGGCAAAAGAGAGAGCCATTTATTGGTTATACCATTTATTGGTTTGTGATCTTACCACAGAAGTGGTGTGCCATCACCTCTGCCAACGGGAGGCAAATACATAGGGTTAGCCCACTGCTGTGCTGATTCTTAAAGCCAGAAAAGGAAATATCCACATACTCAGATGGAAAGTAAAGAATCATAGGGAACACAGGTCAATACAATAGGAATCAAGGAAAAGACAAGTAAGTTACATTAGATCTTAGGGTGTATTGTTATCTCTTAAAGAAAGAATGGGAGGGAAAATTGACCTTTCAATAATTGGAGAAAATGAGGCAATTGATATAAATAAGGGAAGAACACAGGTGACTTTGGAAAGGGGAAACAGATCTGGTTGGCGTGGCCTGCAGAGTGGCTTGGGAGCCAGGCTGCTGATAAACGTAATTGTCTTCCATTTGTTGGGAACTCATGAATAGATGAGAGGTCAGAGTGACAGAGGTAACCGCACTGCAGAGGCCAGGACTGAAGCTCTCATGGCAAACGCAGTCTGTTCCCCTGACTTCTTACATTTAACTGATTTATTCAATAGATGGACCTCGCCTTTAGACCACATTGATGTCCACTTAATTAATTAATTAACTGAGCAGTCACTTAGCGTCAGCCTTTTCTGGCCTTTTCAGTTTTTTTTGTCTCCTCTGCTCTCGTGTCCTTGGTGATTCTAAATGTGTTAACCTCGATGTGATTCTTAAAAAAAAACTTAAAAGTATTTTACATTGACTATTCCACACCGCAATCTATTTTTCTCTCATCTCCTGGCCCCCTTACTCCAGAGTAAGCAGTAAATAGCCTAACTGGGCTGTGGTCATTGTAATGAGGACAGATGACTTTTAACCTTTCAGCTGAACCTTTGGTCTGACTTGGTCACTCTCCTCTGCCTCTACTTTCTTACTTATAAAGGGGAAAGAAAAAGACCCACGGCCCCTATCTTTTCAACTTGACATCATTATCAAGGGGGTCGTGTAGTAAAGGCTGCTTGAAAAAAATAAATTACACATATAATTCATTGCAAACATAGTCACTGAGTGCCCTGCACAAAACAAGGTGGAGATGTCTGGATTGGAAACCTTTTCTTGTGCCTGTGTGGCTCAAGTGGACTCGGAAAGAAGGATGCATTCTTAAAACAATTTCCTCATGTGACAATGAAGTGTGTGTGTGTGTGTGTTGTACTAAGGATTGAATCCAGGGCCTTCAACTGAGCTATGTATGTAACTGAGTGCTTTGGTTTTTTTATTATTATTATTTTGAGAAAAAGTCTTTCTAAGCACTAAGTTGTCTAAGCTGGGCTCAAACTTGGAATCTTTCTGCCTCAGTCTCCCAAAGTGCTACAATTACACATGTGTGCCACAATACCCAGCTGACAATGGAGAGCTACACAAAGCTAGGAATAAATTTTTCACATTATATCATAGAGTTATCCTATTTTAGTCAGATCATACAGTAGCATTTAAAAATATTACTGAGTAGAGCCAGGCATGGTGGTGTACTCCTGTAATCCCAGCATTCAGGAGGCTGAAGCAGGAGGACTGTTGCAAGTTCAAGACCAACCTGAGCTACACAGTGAACCAAAGGCCAGCTTGAATGGCATACCAGCTTGAACCCTGTCTCAGAAAGCCACAAAAAGCATTATTGAGTAATTTTTGTTTCTAATGTGATGTAAGTAAGATGGCTAAGCACATAAGCTTTGGACAAAGCCCAGCTGAATTCAAATCCTGACTCTGACACTGTGTGCATGCGGGTGGGTTCTGAATCATGCTGTGTCTCCTTTTAAAATACAGACAGTAACAGTAAGAATAAGCAAATTAATACAAGTGAAGTTCTTTCAATAGAACTTGGCATGTAGTAAGCAAAACTGTGTTTGCTTTCTTTTCTAACTGACAGGCAATAATCACATGCATTTATGGAGTATGGTGTGAGGTTTCAATGCATGTACACATTTTGCAATGATCAAATCAGGTAATTAGCATATCAAACATCTATCAATAATCCATTTATTATGTCTTTCTGAAACCTCTTCTAATATCGAATGATCCAATACATCATTGTTAACTGTAGGCATCTTCTGGGCAATAGAATGAACCAAACACCGGAAGACAGACACCATATGACGTCATTCATATGTACCAGCCTCCTGGAAAAGGACAGAAGATAGGGGCTCCTGGGGAAGGGAGGGTAGACACAAGTTGGTCAACAGGTACAAAGCGACAAGCGGACAGGTAGAAATATTCTAGTGTTTGTTTTTGTAACTCTGAGAAAAATCAACCACCAGGCATAAAAGAACAAGGAGAACACAATTCTTGCCCTCCAGGAACTTGGAGCTTGGAGGACAAGACTCCTGTTTCATTATGCGCAAAATCGTCTAGACCAGGAACCGGAAGTCACCCTAGATACATTCTTTTTCAGTTCCACTCAGGTACTTTCAGCCCTCACAATCTGTTGCTGGGTCCCACTGTAGATGTTTTTACAATGTCTCATCGCTCTTCCTTTCTTCCTGCCCCACGGCCCCAATACTTGCCCAGTAACTCCCCCATCTACACCAGTGTTCTTGGATCCACTGAATCCTCCACATGGACACTCATACATCAGTCTGAGCATCCACACCCCTGATTCACCCTCCTGCTGTGTTTTCACACTGCCTCTAGACTCAGACCCCTCAGCAAGACCCTGCTGTGTGGAGACTCAATATTTGGCCAGGGACAATGGACATAATAATTGGGATAGACTCAGAAGGCAGATAATTTGAATCCAAATGCGCCATGGACAAGCTCTAACTTTGTTGGCCTACTCCCCTCCTCTGTTCTTGAGGAAATAATAATGTCCACCCCTTGGGGGTTCACATGGATTAAACAATTAACACAGGTAGAGTAGTCTAGCATGAACTAAGCATTATATAAATGTTAGCAATGAATTATGACCGGCCCAACCTGTCTTGAGTCCTTCTTTATCTACTGATTTTCATACTAGTTACACAGAACTTCTGTTTATTTCCTGTGTGCTCTCCATCTGTCTGAATCTCTTATTCATCCTAAGTGATGGACTGACCTTAGGGTAAACCTCAGTAGGTCCTTCATCCCTGTGCTCATTCTTTGTGCCGTCCTCTTCCATGATTTACTTCTAACCAATAGAACATATCAACTCTGAGGGGATGTCACTTGCACAATTGTGCTCCATTGTTTGAGACTCAGCCTTGGTGAACTGGGGACTCGATTGGGTTCATAAAGTCAGAGGCTGTGTTAGAGAAAAGCACATAACAAGGAATTGTAGGCAGCCCCTAGGATCTGAGAATGGCTTCCATTTAATAGCTGCCAAGAGTCTGAGGCCTCAGTCATATAACCAAATGGAAACAAAAGCAATCAACAACAGAAACGACCTTGGAAGTAGATTTGCCCTTATTCAAACATCCCAATAAGATTGCAGCCCACTTGATATGTTGAGTTTATACTTGTGTGATCTGGAACAGAGTGAACCCAAACTACCCATGCCTGGACTCCTGACCTATAGAAACAGTGAGATAATAAATTTCTCTACGTTAAGCCACTGTGTTTGTGGCCACTTTTTTAATCGAGATTAAGAAAATGAATTTACCACCGACCCTATGCACATGGCATCCTTGTCCACTTCCTGTTACTATCACAGAATTCCTGGGACTGGATAATTGTGAAGAACTTTATTTGGTGCATGTTTCAAGATTGGGCAGGGGCATCTGATGAGGACTTCACACAGCATCACAACCACATGGAAAACAGGACATTCAGGCCCACATGGAAGAGGAAACTTTTGCTACAACCTAGTTCTTCCATAACTAATTGTGTCCCAAGAAAATGTGTTATTATTTCTCTTAATGATCTCTCACTCATTAAAGGCTCCATCTCCCAACACCATCACAAAAGCCAATTGAATTTGAACATGCACTCTTGGGGGCTACATTCACACCACAGTACTTAACGAACTCCTACTGAACCTTAAATGCTACCTCCTCTGTGGCGCCCACCCTGATGCCTCCTCACAAAGATGAGCTCTCCCTCCTGAAGCCCACTCACACCTCCTCCCCAATCCACAACAAAACCAGCTGCACCCCACTACTGCATATTCCACTCTCAATCTTTAACAATGGGGCGATATTTGACTCATCCTTGAATTCTCAATGCTGAAATATGGTGGCAATTTTGAAAGAGAGACAAAAGGAGACAATTAAAAAGAAAAAAAGCATGGCAGAGTAACTAGATGCTCAATAAATATTTGTTGATAAGTGAATGAATGAATAGTATTTTGATTATTTTCTTCCCCGGTCTATTGAATTCTACAGAAATGCTTTCATTACACTCTGACAGGCATCTCAGATATTGAGGCTATCCTCATAATAGAAGATTGAATTATCACTAACTCAGATTGCAAGCAAAAAAATAAATGAAAATAGCTTTGGGAAAAGAACTCACCAATAAAAATATTTTTATTTACTTCTGTTGTTAAAAGAGCTTTGGCAGAATAACATTCAACCTCTAGATAATCAAATGGAGGGATGATTTTTTTTTCCAGTATGCCAAGTACTTGAAATGCATGTTGAAGCACACTGATCGATAGCAAACATGGATAAAACTCAACCAATTTGGGGGAAAAAAATGTCATTCAACTGCATTCTACAGAAATAAATACTAGAACTGACACATACTCTATTTCTCAAATTTCAATAACTTTTTAGCCATTTAATTTCTCTGACAGAAAAGTAAAATAGTTTATTTGCCTGGTCTGCATCACTTACCACTTTGGAGCCCGTAGGATGCTAGCCATGGGAGAGCCTAGGCTGATGATGTGAATTCATTGTGCAGACTTTATCAACTGGGTATGTTACACTGAAGAAAAACAAATGCAGTGGACACATGAGGTATACTATAGGCAAAAACACTGGTAAACCTGGCCCAAGTATAATTTAACCAAAAGTAAGGTCTGAATTCTTCCTAGTGTCTGCTCTCTGCAGCTCAGGGCTGCTGCGAGCAGGAGCATAATGAACAGTCCAGCTGCCGAGATGGAGTGATGGATGGCTTATATGGACAGGCACATGCTGATAACATTCAGGGACAGCGGCTGCCCCACAGAGTAAGATTAGTTGCTGAGAGGAACAAGGAAAGCATTCACTTCTAACAATAACAACTATTGCACATTGCACTGTGTCTCCCGCAACTTCTCAGTTAATCCACCGGGCTCCTTGAGACTTTTCCAATGTCAAATGTTTTACAACCAGTGGCTGGCACATAGTAGGGATACATTCATAATTAAACAGAAATCTGAATGTCTGCTCCAAAACTAGACATTGTCCTTGAGAAAGAAATGCACACCGTTAGAAATGGCATTGTCTATGTTTACAACAATACTGAGTGTGTTTGGGTTTAACAAACTAAACATTGCAACTTTAATGATGAGACCTGGCAGAAAATGTTTTTCTAAAACTTTATACTGGCATAATGCTAATAAGGAAAAACAGAAGCAAAAGTATTGGGTTTTGTTATGGTCTTTTGGACTCAAACAAAAAATACATGGGTCAGGACATTGGCAAGAAAAAGCAATTACCTCAATAATAGTTGACCCTTGATAACATGAATTTGACCTTTCCCAGTCTACTTATATGTAGCTTTATTTTGTTGAGACCTGAGAGAATTTGAAAAATACTTGCAGATAAACTAAGTACCCTTAAAAAAAACTGGGAAAAAAACTCCTCGGTTATTCCATTAATATAAAAAACATATAGATAATAGCCTACTGCATCATTTGCCAAAGATACACATAAATCTCTATAAGAGTTAAACTTTATCAATGCTTAGACACATAAACACAGACCTAGACCACACATAGTGCCATTTTGCAATTGAGAGAAACAGAAACACAGGTAAATATGCAGTACTGAATGATAATTGTGGAGAACTAACTGTGGTACCTACTGTATTGCTGTAATAATTGTGCAGCCACCTCCCGTTGCTATTGCTGTGAGCACCAGTGTGGCGAGCACCTGCTCACCATGTGACACTGATCATCTACACACGAGCAGCTTGTCTCTCCACTGTATTGCAGGTGGCTGTGAAACGTGATCCGCTGAGGTTCTCCAATATTTTTCAGTCTATATGATCCACAGAACGTGTGTTACTGGGAAGGCCCCCAGGCAACTGCAACCTGTAAGTGGTTAATAAGTAGAGTTTTGGGGGAGTCAGAAATTATATTCGGATTTTCAGCTGAAAATCAGGGAAAATCAGTGGGTACCCCTCAGTGCCCTCTTGTCAAAGGGGCGACTGCGGTTGGTTGGATCAGAGCAGCCAAGGCCCCACATCGATCCAATCTTCGTGCACCTCAGGGCTCTTTCCTCTTGAGCGGCTCACAATCTACAACATAATAAGGATTTTATAACTTTCGATTGCTGCTCTAACAGTTAACACAAACTCTGAGGCTTAAAACAAAACACATACATCCTATCAAATTCTGGAGGAGCTACAAGAACTCCAAAACCAGTTTCTGTTGGTAAAAGTCAAGGTAGGGGTCAGCAGGGTTTGCTCATTCCATAAGCCCGAAGTGAGAACTCATTTCTTTTCCTGTTCAATTTCTAGTGTCCCCTTGCATTTCTTGGCCTTTGGTTCCCTCTTCCTCAGAACGTATCACCCACTCTTGGTTTCTCTTCTTTGAGTTGTCTTCCGCTCTGGCAAGGTCCCTAATGATTGCATCAGGACCATTTTGAGGCTCCAGGACCCTCTAACTTCAGAAACCTTAACTCTATCCCAGAGACAGAGTCTCTCAGCATGTAAGAGACCTACACGCTCCCAGGTACTGGGGACTGAATAGCTCTCAGACATCGCAGGAAACCACTGCCCAGTCTTCCACAAGAATTTAGCCATAAGTCTAGCTGATAGAATATTCAGAGCTAAATAAAACAATGCAACTATAGAATCAAAACCAAATGTAGGACTAACAAAATATCCTTTTAGGTACAAATAGGCAAGTTGCTTTGATACTTTCAAGCCAGCAGTTTCTCAACCTGTTTTCCCTCCATGAGACAAGGTAGCACTTCTGAATTTCTCATTGATAAATTGAGCGCGTCCTGTCTCTCTGGTGTTCCATTGCTGAGATCACTGCTGTTAGCCCTCTAGGGGTCTGCAAAGTATCCAGGGATTAGTAATTTATTATTCTCTGCTGTGAGGGATGCTCTTCTTGTCCCCTAGTGATCTTAGTATATGAATTTATTTCTGATTGAGCTTAAAAAACCAAGAGGGAACTTACTCACCTTTATCAGCATAAAAAAGTCTCCACATAATGCTTCCTCCTGACTGGTTTCATTTCCTTTCTTAAGCGCAGCCAACGCAAAATGCAATCCGCGCCTGGATTTTATAACCTGTGCCTGGTGCACATCGGGCCTTACTGTTGCCAGTAGGTGGGTGAGAATTGAAAGCCTGGGGATACTGCATTGGACTGTGCATGATTCATTCTCCTTGGCTTATTCAGCTCCTGATGTCATCAAAGATCAAGGTTCTATTATATTTCCTATATTAGGGACAAAGCTCCAGCTGGGAGCAACTTGCCCTCCACCTCTGCGATAAAGCTGAGTACAGCTGGCCCACCAATTTTGTGCCCCATCAGAACCTTCACAGGTAGGAAATTTTCCTACTTAATTAGAATCTGCTGCAATGAGCTCATTCAGCCCTGGGAGCCCAAAGACGGACGCTTCTACATAGCAGTTTTCTTTCTTTCCGTCTTCTTCTGGCTTGGCACAGGCTTGTCAACAGGTGTGATCAACAGTAAGGAAGTGTGTCATGCCAGGGCTCCCAGTCTGGTCCAGGATGAGAACCCACGGCTGAAAAGATGGCACTCCCAGCCTTAGGCAGGCTGCCATGAGATCTTCGTTCCTTGGCACTGGTGCCCATGGTGAGCATCTAGGCAACTTTTGATTGGGCACCATGCCCTCCAAACAGATGGGCATGAATGTAGGCAGGCAAGAGACCATTTATTTATATCAACTGTATTTGCTGAGGGCAGGGATCCCAGCTGGGAACATCAAAGCAGCTCTTTGTCCTGGCTGTCTGCATCTCTGATGGAGGTGATGTAGCCTTGCAGATTCAGCTGGTTTAATTTTGAAAAATAAGAACAATGTTTCTATGGACACCAGGGGACATTTTTGGCTTCCATCAATGGTTCAGAACACAGAGCAGGCTGGGCCCAAGTCATTTTAATAAAATCACCCATCCCTATTTGGATTCGGTGGGAGTCAGCCAAGAAAGCTTTCCAAACCAGGCCAAATGTAGGTGAACAGAGTTAGCCCCACATGGAAGCCAGCTTTCAGAGTCCTTGGACACACAATGACAAGTGGCTTTCAAAGAAAATTGAGCTGAAGTCACCCAGACTGGTAGCTGGGAAAACATTGTGATTGAGCTCCCCACTGCGCTGCTTTCCTAGACACCCATTAACCTTCACTTTGTCCCTCCTGTAAGTGATGAATGGAACCAAGTGTGAGCTGAACGTGCAAACCAGACATTAGGGTTGGCTTCACTGGAAACTTCATTCGGCTTTAAGGACAAAAAGATAAATTAATAAAAAAAATTTATTACACTTACACTTAAACATCTGAGCAATCACAAAGCTCTCCTCAGAATACAACTTTAGCATTAATATTAGTGTTAAGTACAAAAAGACATGTTTTGCTTCCATGCAGGAGCATTTGTCTTATACACTTTCCATGCAATATTTCAATGAATTTTCACAACAGTGCAAAGGAGGTACATGATATTAATGTCATCGTGCAGGTAAGTGATCTGAAGCTTAGAGAGATGCACTCATCCATTTTGTTTTTTTGCTTTAACAAAATAACAGTGGCAACCTAACTTTCTAAAGAAAACAGGGTTAATTAGATCACAGTTTCAGAGATACAAGGAATGCTGGTGGCATCGACTCAATACTGCATCTCATCATGGTGGAAGTTGTCCATAAACAAGAGATCACTGGTGAAGCTGAGGTCCTGCAGTGCCCCCTCCTAAGCACACTTGCCCAATGTGAGCCAAGGACCTTCCATCAGGGTCTTCCTTTCCTGAAGCTACCTCTCACTGCCACTCAGGACCAAGCCTCCAACACATGACCCTTTGGACGACAAACAATGTCTAAAGCATAACAATACAGTTGCCCAAAATCCCACAGCTGCTCCCAGGGATAACCAGTTAGAAACCCAGTACTGCTCGGTTGAAAAGCTTGCTGCAACATCCCACTTCCTCTGGAAACACTGCATTCTGTCATTGTCTTCATGATTGGCTTGCCTAGCTTGAAGGTTTCCAGTAATGGCAGTTTAGATTGGTGCTTCTCAAATTTTAACATGCCTGCAAACTGTCCAGTAAGAGAACTGCTAAATGCAGATTCTGACTAAAATAAACCGGGGAGGGATCCTGGAGTCTGCACTTTTCTAATAGACTGAGAATGCTGGCACCCAGCTACACTGTGGGCACCAAGGTTTCAGTTTATAGCACCAAATCTCACCCTGCACTTCACACTGGCTTTAAGGTCTGGGGCCTTAAAAAAATAATCACTGTCTGCGTCATTTCACCAGGGATTCTGCTTTAATTGTTTCTCAGCCACTGGTTAGCAATTCTCTTCCCAATCAGCATTTTGTCATTTATTTCAGATGGGAATGTTGAACTGTAAAAGACGTCTTTGGTTATATTCCACACAGATGGAAAATAACACGATGTATGAAGATGTGCTGTCGGAGGGCCCTCCCAGGTCCGAGTCAGTTCATTTTCCTGCTGCTGGTTATTGTAACAATGCTGGAGGCAGGTGATAGGATGGGTCTGTTACTCACACAGTCATCTTTAACAGGAACAGCTGGGACAAGAACAGACAGATCAGCAGCACTGGTATAATCGTGTGAGAGCAGAATGTTGACAAATTGTATGTTGATGGAGGTGACAAGCAATGACACTCAGAAACATCCTCTTTCTATGGCATAGATTCTTCAGATTAACATTTTTTTGGTTGAGAAGATCTGAATAGGGAAACATGGGGCCATTCAAATCTCTACTGTGTCAGCCCCTTAATCAATTGCATGTAACAAGCAATAGTATGGATCAGGTGTTCGATGATTGCATTTATTAGAGAAACGCAATTGATTTCATGTTGGCAGCTATGTGCCCATGGATCTCTTTAGAGTTTCCTGCTAAGTGTGATCAAACCAAACGGACTACAGATTATTAAATCCAAATCAATATTTTTGCTGGCAAAAGCAAAGCATTCAGTGAGGGGGAAAAAAGAATCTGCTTTTCAGAAGATCTCGGCCTCATGTATTATTAATGCAAAGATGATCAGATAAAAACTGGAACTTGGCAAGCTGTCAAATAAAAAATGCAGAGTGAATAAAAAATTTATAAAACAATATTGAGTTATTACAATTCTATTATAGATACCAGTAATCATTTTTAGTGAAACAAACCTCTTCTGTGACGACAGCTGGGACGTTAGGGTACAAGGATTTAGGACTCAACCTCATTTTGAAGGAAAGATACGGCAAAATTAAAAATTAAATGTACAAAGTAAGTGATTTAGTCACAGTCCAGTAGCAGATTGAATAAAATAATAGAGCTTTTTTTTTTTAAAATAATGGCAGTATTTTCCTTCTTGGGCCACAATTTGCTGACTTCCTTGAAAAATCACTGGCATTAGATTCAGAGAAGGATGAATTGCTTTACAGAATCTGTAAACCTAATTTGTGCCAAGTGCATGCACCACGCAAGACACTGGAGAGGAAAAATGACTTGGTGAGATATTTTGTCACTTATGGATTTTCTCTTAGAGAAAAAAGTTCCAACTCCATAGTTTTATTAGTCGTCTCATCAGGTATAGGATCATCCTCCCTCCCTTGCTGGTGCTGAAGTTCTGATAGTGCCTGAAGTACATGCAAGATTGGAAAGATGGCTGTCAGCATTTCCAAATATTCAGAAAATAATTGCCACCATTCCTTTAGCTCCTGAGTCAATTTGCTCATCCAAGATCAAATAAATAGCTATACTTATAAGAGCAGACAAGTCCTAAGACATAGCCAGCAGCAGGAAATTGACACCAATAAAGTTTAACAGTGAGCCCCCTTTTTTACATCCCTGGTTTTCCTCAGTGCCTAGGTGTAGAGCAAAGAGGATCTCTTGGAGCTGGAAACAAGTCTTAAGTAATGGAATTGGAGAGCACACTTTGAAACATCAGGCCAGGTCACTGGTCTGTTAGAAACAGAACTGATTCCACTTAGGTGGACTTAAGCAAACGCTGTGAGAGGGAGAGGTTTGCTTAATCAGACCCTGAGCCAAACTACCAGTTCTGTGATGAGTTTTGGTTATACTGGGAGCAGGAAAATACTGTAAACTATAATCAGACTTTGATAGGCAAAACCTTCGTGTGAATTCCATGGTCACAACTTTGCCTTAATATTGCATTCTAAATGTATTTCCTAAAGTGCCAAAGCCAAGAAAATCTGAGAGATTCATCAATTCTGCTACACAGTTGAAACACACACACACACACACACACACACCTTCAGATTCTCTGCCATGACGCTATAAATTATGTTGAGTCATTTCTTTTACTTGGTATTTCACTGGTGTTACTGTGGCTTGTTTACAGAAATGTAGGGAAAATGGAAAGGCAGGAAGAATTTTAATTTCCCACCTAGACCCAGGTTTAAAAAGTTCCCATGACATTTGCTATGGATGAGTCTTGGGTAACCAGTCGGCAGCTCTGCTGTTGTGCTCATCTTCCCAAGAGGAGGGGTTACTCAGGGGTTACTCCCCCACACCCCCATCACCAGGCAAGGAGCTCAGCACAGCCAGATCAAGGCTGAAGGCACGTAGGCTATGATGTGTCAAACAAGAACAAACACAGTTTGGAATTCACCTACTGCTGTATGCCCTCCATTGTTGTCAAGTTAAAAACATAAAACCACACTGTTTTTCACACGGAAGGGATTTATTAGAAGGACTTGGTTATATGCTTGCAAACAGGGGCATAGGGCCTTCTGGAGATAGTAGTCACGCGCTTGTAACACCAGGACATAGTCTGGAAGACGTATCATTAGGTGATTTTTGTCGCATGAACATCATAGCATGTGCCTGCAAAAACTCAGGTTTGTAGGTCAGTCACTCAGCCCAGATCTCAATCAATCAAGAGACACAGTAAACGTGAGGTGCATGAGGCTGTTGCTTGTGTAATGAGGCTGTTTTACAGTAAACTGCTTTCTGATAGGTAAAAGGAGAATACTCTAAAATAACAATAAAACATAACATAGTGAGTACTCAAATCAGTGGATTACCATCATTATCAAGCCTACTCTACTGGACACACATGTATTTAACATGCTTTTCCACGATGGCAGCAGGTAGCCTTGTTTAGTCCGCATCAACACAAACTCATAGTAATGTGTTGTGCTATCACATTCCATCAATGACAGCATCACTAAATGACAGGAACTGTTTGTCT